AGGAAAAACCCTAATAAACTAAAGGAAAATAAAATTTGATTAAACTATGATATTTCCTCGAAGGGCGTTATCCTCCACCATCATGTCTAATTCCAAGGAAAGAAAGAATTCTAACCTAAAGGAAAAGAATATTGGATTAAAGTATGATGGTGCCACGAAAGGCGTTTCATCCACAAGCATGTCTAATGTTATGAAAAAGATAATCCTAACCTAATGGAAAAGAAAATTAGATTAAAGTATGATATTGCCACGAAGGGCGTTATCCATCACTAGCACAACTAATCCTAAAGAATAGAAGAATCCCAACTTAAAATAAAAAAAAACTACATTAAATTAAAACGGTGCCAGAAAGGGCATATTTCTACCACTAGCACATCTAATCCTAATGCAAGAAAGTATTCTAACTTAAATGAAAAGAAAACTTAGTTAAACTAGTATGGTGCCACATAGGACATTGTACACGAATAAAATATTGAAGGGTGTTGTCCACCCCTATAACGTCTACTCCTATGGAAAGGTAGAGTCCTAATCTACATAAACAAAAATTGGATTAAAGTAGAACGGTGTCACAAAGGGCATTACGCATGACTTAAACATATAAACTTTAGGAAAGTAAAAATGTTAACCTAAAACAAAGGAAAACTGGATTAAACTAGGATGGTACCACAAATGTCATTATCCACCACTAGCACATATAATTCTAAGGAAAGATAGAATGCTAACCTAAAAGAAAAGAAAATTGTATTAAAACTATGATGGTGCTATAGGCACCACTAGCATGTATAATCCTGAGGTATGGAAAATCCTAACCTAAAGCAAAAGAAAATTAGATTAACCTAGGTTGGTATCACGAAGGACATTATCCACTACTAACACTTCTAATACTAAGGAACGGAAGAATCCTAACCTAAATGAAAAGAAAACTATATTAAACTAGTATGGTTCCACGAAGGGTGTTATACACGACTAACACGTCAAATCCAACGAAAATGAGGAATCCTAACCTAAATAAAAATAATATTGGATTAAACTAGGATGGTGCCTCAAAGGGCATTGTCCACCACTAGCATATCTAATCCTAAGGAAAAAAAGAATCTTAAAAGGAAAAGATAACTGGATTAAAACTAGGATGATGCCACGAATGGCATTATCCCCCACTGGCACCTTTAATCCTAAGGAAAAGAAAAATCATAACCTAAAGGAAAAGAAAATTGGATTCAGCTAAGATGGTGCCAAAAAGGGCATTGTCCACCACTAGCATGTCTAATCCTAAGGAACATAAGAATCCTAACCTAAATGAAAAGAAAACTGGATTAAACTATTATTGTTCCACGAAGGGCGTTGTACACGACTAGCACGTCTAATCCTATGAAAAGGAAGAATCATAACTTAAGAGAAAATAATATTTGATTAAACTAGGATGGTGCCACGAATGGCAATGTCCACCACTAGCACGTTCAATCCTAAGGAAAAAAAGAATCCTAACCTAAAAGAAAAAATAATTGGATTAAAACTTGGATGGCGACATGAAGAGCGTTATCCACCCCTAGCACTTTTAATCCTACAGAAAGGAAAAGTCCTAACCTAAAAGAGAAAAAATATTGTAGTATAAAAATGAAGAACCCTAACTTAAAAGAAAAAGAGAACTAGATTAAACTAGTATGGTGTCAGAAAGGGCATTGTCTGCCAATAGCACATCTAATCCTAAGAAAAGGAAGAATTCTAACAATCTAACCTAAATGAAAAGAAAACTGAATTAAACTAGTATGGTGCCACGAAGGATATTATGCACAACTAGAACGTCTAATCCTATGGAAAGGAAGAATCCTAACATAAAGGAAAAGAAAACTGGGTTTACTTTTAGTGTTCTCCTTTTGAAGGTAATGGATGATTAATTGAAAACTTTTTTTCTCTTGTTTGAATTCTCATGAGAGCTTGAGATATTGGAGTGAGATCCCTAGGAGAGGGAGAATTGTTCAACACCCACCAACCTAGATGAGTCGGGTTCATGGTTCTACCTTCTATCTCTTTCTTTCCTCCCTCTATCACCACCGGCCATACCTTCTTTCCATCACCTTGTCCAAACTTTCATCAACACCAAACCCCTTCGTCATCCCCACCGAATTCTCTAAACCACCTCCACCTAGTCGTCGGTTCCCTTACCCGAGCCCCATTCAAGCTGTCAGTCCTAGCCCCTTGCCAACTCATGGATTTACTTCCTAATTTTGATAGTCATAATTTAGATAAATTTTGAATTCAAATTCACCCAATTTGAAATTTAAAATCTTTCCTAAATTATAAAATCTATTTTGGGAAAGTTTCCAAATCTCTCCTTATTGGATTTTAAATTATTTTATAATGAATTATTTCTTTCCAAATCTAATCATCAAAATCAAGGAAGCATTAAAGCCTCCTTAATTTCCCCCATCCCCATAAAGTCGTCGGCCCCCTCTCTCTAACCGCCTCTCCTATCTCTCTCTCCAATCCCCTCTCTCTCTATATTAACACCTCTCCCCTCTAGGAATTAAATTCAAATTTCATTCCTAATTCCCACCTCTCCCTTCTCCAACCTGAAGTAAAATTTCTCAAACCACCTCCCCTTGGCCGGCTACCTCTCTTACCTCCTCCTGCTTGGATTTTGAGAGAACTCCCTCTCTCTCTCAAAAGGTAAACAACAAAGGAAACCAAGAGACTAGTCCTCCCGCACCTCAACGCTACAAGTTCAATGCATGGTCGATCCGAAACTTGATTACGGACTCACCTACGACGAGCAAGGATTTGTTTGCATGCTACATTCGACATTATTCGATGTTAATCCATGCATCGATTATACCATAGAAGAGTACGTATGGTCGAGGCTATTGAAGAGCAACTTTGAATCGTTCAGTGGAGGATTACAACCGATCCTTAATGAAGGTCTTCTAATCTTCCTCTCCCTGTATTTCCTTACCCTAACCCTCTTTCTTGGGATTTGATTTTAGTCATGATGATCATGTTCTCCTAATTCTGCCAAGCTTAGTAAACGTAGTGAATTGAGTGCACTTCATTTGTTTCTAATCTTATTATTAGATTAGGGATTTTCGTTGAAAGCTATTATATTTACATAATGTTGATTTCCTATGTTATTTTGTTGATTCAAAGCTCTTGATGTGAAACTTGGCCTAAACGAAAGTAACCACTCTTACGTTTTATTTTTCTTTTTTTATTTACTAATAGTTCTAATTGTTATCATTCTAATCAATAAATCGTGCAAGTTCTTTTCAAGTTATTGCATGCATTGTAGTCCTACATCAAATAGTTTTTATATTGTATAAATAAATAAATAAATAAAATATTAAATACTATTACATCCATATCACGGTTCTCGAGCAACAAAGTTATTTCCTAATATCTATTTTACATTCTGATAGATCTCCTTGCTTGCAAAATCTCTTTAGTTGCTAAACCATAAAATCAAGTATACCGTAAAGAAATGAGTTTTCTTACCAAAAAAGCCTTGTAATTCTAATCAACATAAAGGACAGACTAAGATGATGGCTTTCAATTTTTATTTTATTTTTTTTTACAAAGGTAACCATTTATAGCAGAACTACAATGGACAGTGGAATGCTTCTCAATTCTTTCATAAAAATTACACCAACAATTTAGAGTATTCCCTCCAATCTCATCACATGCCTAGGTTGTCCCAACAATACCATGTCCCAAAAGCAATGCCTCGCAAAACTTGACCTCGCTCAAAGAAATAGCAATGCAAACTTCTTGATATATAAACCATAACAGTATTAAGTTTAATATTTGGGCTATCCAGTGCTCAAAATGGAAAAAGCCCAAAATAAAAACCCAACTATTTGTCTACAGGCAATCTAGTTCCAAAATATTACATTTCTCACATTTAATCTATTGACTATACAAATAATCCAAAGTATTTTCTTAAAGAAAAAAATTGGATCACATTTGTATAGGCAAGGGACAAATTTATGATAATCTTGACCGCGGAAGCTAGGCTGCTCGCTAGGGTTTCTAAACGGGTCAACCGAGTCAGTTTAGAATTGTCAGGTTAACCCGAACCCGACCCGATTTTTGAAATGCGCTGACTTTACTAACTCGAACCCAACACGTATGTCAAATGGGTTGACCCGAACCGAGAATTTTTCGAGTCGAGTTCAGGGTCGTGTCAAATATTGACATCACTAATGGCATGGTCACAAAGGAGATTGCAACAAACGTTTTTTCGTAGGTGGGTAACGTGGGTCGCAGTAGTTTTTGGTGGTCACAGATTAACAAAATGTCACAATGAGGTTGGAGGTCGCAACTAAGGTTGTAGGTGGAGGTGCGGGACGCATGCAACTATGAGATTGAGCAAAGAGAAAAAGCAAAGCATTGCTAAACTATGTATTCTAAATTGACCTAATTCTGGAGATTTCAAAATACACCAAAAATGAATTATTTGGTGATTTTCAAACTCCCAAAAAAAATGCTTAGAATTTACCTTACTCTCAACCAAGCATTCTAAATCATGACACCCATCCTTTAAAATGCAATACACTTAAAATATTCCCAACCAAGCAATCCCAAAACGAAGGACTAAATGAACAATAATTATAGAGAAAAAGATGACAATATTATCAATTTATCACTGATCTTATTCAAATTCAAGTAATAAGAAATCCATAGTAATAAAAGTTATAAGGAAATTGGAAGAATTTGATATGAGAAACAAAGAGTGATCTAGTTGATGCCAGAACTTCAACGTCATCAACTAACAGTGCAAGAAAACAAAAAAAATAAATAGCATTGCAGTGAATGTTTACTTTGATTCAACACTAAAGTTTGTAGACTTGTGGTTTGTGACCAGTAAAATTTTACATGTCAATCCATACTTTGGAAGAATTTTTTCATAAATAAAACTGGAAAAGCATTGTATGGGTGTGACTATGTTTTTGGAATTTCAAATGCATCATGTGAATTATTAAATTTCATTTATCGTGAAAGAATTATACCTCCCGACCAACAAAGGAAGAAATATTGATGGAGAAAGACATTTTTACTGTCGGTTCCTCCACTTTGACGGTGGCTAGTGCTTTCCCAGAGCTTTTATCAGCTATTATCTCTCCAATCTGCATAAACATGAGAATAACAATAAGCTATCCTCCACATACACGTTTCCATAGAAAAAGCTCATAAATATGTAGACTAAAAAAAATACAACTACAGGTTGGGTCCCGGTGGACTGCTTACCATTATATCATTTATTCAACAAACGGAACAAATATCTCCAGCCTCCACATTCTCAGCTGGGACCCTGCTGAAGTTCTGATAAACAAAAACTTCACTGACTTTTGTCAGTCTACATGTTTCATCTGATGTGCAAACCTACAATCACATAATTTTCATGAACTAAAAACTCGATATTTTCTACATAAAGTTGTCCGTATCCATATGCACTCTGCCCTCCTTCCAAATGCTGATCCTTCCACTTGAACATTTACATATATAAATAAACCTGCATGAACAAGATGTTCACCTTTAACAATATATCATCATTATCATTTTCCATAGATTTCTTTTCTCTTATTGTTCTAAACATTAAATGAAGAGATGGATTCTTACTTACAAAAGCATTAAATAGAAAATGGGAAGGGAAGCTGATTTGACCAAGCATGGATGATATTTTCCAAGTCCTTATCTAGATAGAGATCATTTCCATTTCCCGCCTTCTTCGAGCAAATCATAAGCTTTGCACTGCGCTTTAGTAAAGGAAAAAACCAACCTGCTGCAATTAAAGCCAAGAGATTTACAACAACTTTAGCAGCTGCTTATTACTTAAATAAAAAAAGTTATATTCCCAAGTGCCAAAGCCATGCTTTAATTAACTTGCTTCAGCACTTAGAAGATAGCAATTGATGCGATGAAACCTTATGTAAAAGAAGAGTTTGGTGAATATAAATATCATATAAATAATTACAAATATATTGATCGAAATATTAATGAGTTTCTAAAAATGTCGATCAAATTACCCAATTAAGAAGAAAATGAACAACTAAGCAATGAAAATTTGGGTATTGCTTATGCAGAAGCTGTAATTCCTTGCGAAGAAACTCATTTCTAAGGCAAGCTTGTTGAGCTCGAACTGTTACCAGTTTCTCTTGACATTAAGTATTAATCTCACTCAGGCTTCGTTTGAGACGACTTTTTTGCTACTTCTTAAAGCAGAGTTTAGTACAAAAATTTTAATTTTTAATTAAAACACTTATAAAAGGCAATAAAAAATTCATCACAAACAAAGCTTTATCTTTCCAACAACGTAACAAGACGATAATAAAAATCAAATTAAATGCAAGATGAATTTTCCATTGCGAAAAAATAAAAAATAAAAATGTGATCAAATTTACCTCTATGCGGAGTATTTTCCTTGAAATCAGCTTCTTCTTGTTCTTTGGTCAGTTTCATAATGTATTCAAGGAATTTCTCCTCAAGACCCTCAAATGTTTAGGGATGATTGATCTCGTCATAGCCAACTTCTTTATTATCTATTGGATCTCTAACCATTTGTTTCTCCAATGCAATTTTGGAGTCTGGTCTTTGATCTTGGTATGCAGATCGAGAAGAATCGCTTACTTGACATAAATCTCAAATTTTTACTCTCCTTGAGCTTTATAAGCCAATAAGGGAATAGCTTTCCTAAGCTAGATAAAGGAAATGAATATCATAAAAATGTTTTGTACGATAAGGTTCCCAAAATAAAAAGCCAGGATCATAAAGTTGATTCTAGAAAGTTATAAAATGAAAATTGCAATAGCGGACACAAAGATGAACACCACAAGGATTATAGAAATATTAAGGATCAATGGTTAAAACATTAGCAGGAAACAATGGAGCACTCTTCACAATCTACAGAAATAAAACTGACACAAAAAACTTCAGAAAAAAATTTCATTATTGGAATTAACAATAAGCAAAGATTTTAGAAAGAAAAATTATTTCCAGAATTAACATTAAATTGCATTTCAAATTCAATTAATTAGATCAATACTATGACCTTTAGATGATTTACGAAAGGAACATTTAAATTGTGACTTTTTTACACAGAAATTACTTGGAAAGTATGGGGAGAGTCTTTCAAAATTATAAAACAAAAAAATATGCATGGGTAACATGATTTTCAAGTATTACAAGATTTCTATGATGATTTTGAAACACAGACTATGCAGAATAGAATTTGCTTCCATGGTAAAATTGTTCAACTCAATATAAATCTTTGATTTATCATATTTTTTCATAGAAACATGTCAATTTCATTTCTTGGAATTTTTTTTTCAAAAAACCGAGTTAAATTCTTTCAAGGGAAGGAGACATAGAGGGCAACAAATTAAGCACAAGAGTAGCAATGAAAATAAATTAATTGATTGATAGACATTGCTAGAGGAATCAAGTAATTAAGAACAAGATTGACATCAAGAAAGCCTCTGGAGTTTAAAAGGAAATAAATGTGATAGAAAATGAATTGAAAATCTTGTCATTGGTTCACAAATCAGAAAGAGTCTTTTTATCAGAATATATGAAAAACTGAATTTTTCTCATCCAATAATTTTAACTTAGTATAATCTACCCAACTAACATGATGAGTATATTTAGTGATTAAATTACCCAATACCTAGTATAGAGCTCTATTACACCTCCATAAACCTCTTTTCACAAAAAATAGAGCTTAATTTTCAACTAACTTTTAGATCAAAATGATACTTAAGAAGAAAATCATAAACAAACAAAATAGATAAAAATATTATCCAGAAAGTCCAAGATGACATGGCTTCTTAAAGTCATAACTAGAGATGGTGATTAAGTTGATATACAACACCAGATTTAACCAGAAATTAATAAATTGTCGTTATCAAGTCCTGTTTGTAGAGTATGTTTTCTATGTTGAATAAGATTATAGGATGAAGATAGTTGATTATGATTGTAGGCTATATCTATGTCAATGTTTAGTACAATTTTTGTTCTGATTTTGAACTATATAACCTATGAGAAGCTATATATATTTCATCAAAGATGCAATATTGAATATGTATGTAGTTTATGTATTCATCAGCCTAAATACTCCTAGCAGAAGCTTGCTACTATAATTTTTATGTTTTGTTGTTAGGAACATTGACAAATGCAGTGTTATCTAGCCTGGAGGAGTAAATAAATTTTTTTTGCGAGAAACTGCAAATTGGAGAAAAAAAATATAATTAGTGTGACATAAAATTAGTAAAGACAAACACTGTAATTACACTTAAATTTAGATTGAATTAAACGAACATTAAGGATTTGTTTGAGATGGTTGGAGTTATTTATAAAGTTGATCGCCAATTTGTTGTGGGGAGAACAACTTAATTATTCTAGGAGCATTGTGCTTCATACTGCAGCTTATATATCTATAAGGAAACATCTGTTCAGATTAATTCCAAATAAAGTTAGCAAAACTAAAAATAGAATCCAACAAATTTACACACCAAAATATAACTATTTTGTCAGACATTTTTTAAATTCGGACAAACAATATATTTCACCGTAGAGGAGAAGAACACTGTACAGAGGAGAAGAACACCTTACAGGAAAAGAAATGGAAAGGTGGAAGAGCAACCTACTATCTGACATGAGAAGAAGCCGATCGGAGAATCAGTGGTGCCGGCGACGCAGTAATTTTTGCCAGGGAGAAAAACGACAACAACTAAGAAGAAAATGAGGTATGTAAAAGAAGAGTATGCATCCATGGGAGAAAAGAGAGAGAGAGATAAACGAATTGCAAACCCTATAAAAATTTGAAGTAGGAATTTAAGCTTAAAAGGGGAAAAAATTATAACTTGACGAGAGTGGGGAGCACGGAAGACTGTAGGCTGCAGCGAGCGGCTTCAGCGAACAAAATCAAATCGGGAAGAAGTGAAGACAAATCACAGAAAATGAAAAAAATAATAATAAGTTAACCTGGGATGTTTGCAGGAGCCGACGAGCAGAAAAACAACAAAAAAATTAAGTAAAAGGAGGATGGAGAGTTTGGGAGAAAACCCTAACCTAGGCCCCACTAACCTTCGATTCCTCACAGCAGTCCCACCAACCTTCGATTCCTCACAGCAGCCAGTTTCCGGCGTGCTTAGAGCGCAGAGAGACCGAGTCGCTTCTTTGATTACTAGCCTTCCGCCTAAAACCTTCAGCGGCCTTTCGGCGCTTAAAGCAGAAAATGAGAGTCCGTTCGGTCGTCCTCTCTGCCATAGTCGCACTCTTAAATTAGTCTGATTTGTCGTTTGACCTAAATGCCCTTATAGCCGTTACGTCTAAACAAATAAAATTTATTTTTTACATTTCCCAAAAAAAATATATTTTACTATATGTTTTAATAAATGAACTATTAATTAGATAAATAAAAAATTAATATGAAATTCATATTTTAAAATTTTAAATAAAAAAGAAAATTATATTTAATTATTGAATTCAATGTTATATGTTTAAATATATCATAAAAGAGTTTAGATTAACACCATTAAATATAAATAAGAAATATATTAAATTCTATAAATTATTTTTAGTGGATTGCTTAATAAACTATTTGACTAATCTCCTTGGATAAAAAAAATTTTTGATCATGCTATAAAAATAATATATGAAGAAAAAGAGCTTATGAAGAAAATTTTGAAGATAAGTAAAGAGAGTTTAATAAAAAAAATTAAGGTCTCATCTTCCGAATTAATGATATATACAATTAAAAGTATAAATATTACATCATATATTATAGTCATTAAATAAATTTATTAAATTAAACA